GGGATTTACATTGCTGTACCGAAGTCTAAAATGAAAATTAAATGTATTGTTGGCTACTTCGAAAGTGGTGCCCAAAATTTGAGGGTGTTTTTTAATACAGTTTTTTTCGAAAACACTTCGCTCTATGTGGTTGTATCAAGGGTACCTTTTTTACGTAAAATTATATTGCAAGATCGAGAGGTCATCATTTTTCCGATTTAACACCAACAGATGATTTATTTCCCAAAAAATACCCCAGAAATAAAGTATTATTATTTTAACACAAACCGTTTTTAAAATATTTAATTTAAACCTGATGAAACAGTTTAAAATGTTTATAGCAACTTTTTCTTTTATTTTTATCCGAAATATATTAACGATATTTTCGGACAATCTGTATGTAAAAAAATTAAGTAATTTTATGACGTTTTAAAAAAATTTAAAATGGGAACCTTTTATTATTTATTCGATTTTTTTCCATTGTAACCGTTATTTTTATGTGGATAAGATGCTAGACAACCACTGCACTTTTTGGGAAAATTAGATGAGTAAATCGAGTTTTTTTTAAATCGTTTAGCTATTGACATTTCAACTTGACTACCATTTGAAATAATATATGTGCTGATATACATTTAGAACCTATTTTTGTATTGCATTATTTAAATAGAATTTTGATTTACAATTTAAAACTTTAATTTGCATTGTTTATTAAAAAATCTGTTGATTTATATTGAATATATTGTGAACTAAAGTTTTAAATAACTGTCTTTAGATTTATTAGAATGTTTAAAAAATAGTGACATTTTAAATTTAAAATTCTCTGAACAACATTTTTGATACGCCTCTGACAATCCTGCAAGCATCCTGAATCCTGATTTAGTTTATTGTTTGTCTATATGATTCTAGAAAGCGTTTACGAATACTTTCAAACCTGGTTGGATATGATTCATCATGGTTTTATATGATGATTTTATATGTCTTTAATCGTCTTTTCTATTCTATTCAAAGACACAACAATAGGTAACAAAATCGATCAAGTTTGTTTTTTTAATATGAAAGAAAATGTAAAGCATAAACAATTTTTGATTTATTAGAAAAAAATATAAACCATCAATAAATTGGTGTTTTTAGGTTTTAAAAAAACAAATGTTAAAAAAACACTTCTGAGAAATTAAAAATATTTTTTCCACTCCTATTGCATATTATTGACATTATTTGGGTCTTTCCGTATATAATGGTAACAACAGAAATAATGAACTCATTATTTACGTTGTTGGGCGATTTTATTGCTAACTGTGATTTGATCCAATCGGGTTCTAAATTGAAAAAAAATGAACTGTAACAGATATCAGATTTTTTTATATACAGGGTGTTATGTAATTAATGTAATATGAGTACATTAAATGCAAAACTCGGTTTTTGCAAATTTTTAAAAATATATATTTTATCCTATTTTTGTACATTACTGCACTGCCTACAGCATACCTAAGTAAACCAGATGTATAAGTTAGTAGTTGTAGAATAAAATACATTTAAAAACTTAACGCAGATGCAAAACTGGGTATTTGTTTCTTCCTGTCGGATGCAAAACTCGGTATTTACTGTTGACCAATCACGTCGCTAGTATACGCATTACGTGACGACATAACAATCACCTGATTAATTGTTATAACTATCACCTTATTAATTGTTATTTCTTGGTATTTACACTTTTCACATGCAAAACTTGGTCTTTGAACGAGGAAGATGCAAAACTATGGTTTTAAAACTTTTGATTACAATTATTTAGTAAAATACTCGGTAAAATACCTAATTTGAAAGGATTTTTTTTTACTTGTTTGAATAAAAATGATGCAAAAGCACGTCTATACAATTTTTGCATTTTTTTTTCAAAAATGATCTTATGAGCGGTTTTTCATGTTTTTCTTAAAATCACTTATCCTGCAAATACAGAGTTGTGCATCTAATGTACTCATATATTAAAACACTGAATACCTTTAGACATAAGGTGTAACGGAAAAATATTTTTTCTCAAAGATAAAGAAAAAATATGCATTAGTTAGTTTTTTATAGTTTTTGTGATACGCCCCTGGTTACACACTTGTACATAGATACAAAGTAGCTGAGAGTTATCAGTTGTAAAAAATTGTTACTAAAAATTTTTCTTGGAAAAAATAAATAAAAACTCAATAAATATATTTATATGTATACATAAGTTGTATGCCCTTAAGGCTCTAATACCCTTCAGTATTTATTTACTCATCCAGCTATTAGCTTAAGCAATGATTAGAAAATTTAAAAACTTCATAACTACACAATTTATTTTTTCATCGGTTTTTTTCTTTCTGTTTATTCAGGTAAAATTAAGAAAAGTTCACAGGTTAAACTTTAAACATTCAATTTGTGTAAAGTAATCGAAAATACTTCCCTTAGTTAAGATATTTACATTTTGAGCACATAACCTAAAATTTAAAAGAAATACACTAGATTCTGTCATAAAAGTTGCCAGATTTTGTTTGAATTTCTTCATTACAAAAATGACATAACAGACAATTAATAAAAACGACAAATATTTTTTCTTAAAAACCGTTAGAGATATTTAAAAGGTGTTGATTGTTATGGGTTTAAAAAAAAATGCAAAATTTTAAAAAACACTTCTTTATATCTACTGGATAACCTATCTTTTATGTACCTAGTAATATCCAGTACAGCCAACCAAACAAATTACAAATATTTTATCTTAAGTCAATTTGTGCCTTTCATTGTACGTCTCAAATTTCTCAAAAGTATAATAATTGTTATGAATAGTTCACATTCACGGTGTAGTAAACATAAACATAAACATGGACATGAAGAACCAGTTCTCCTGTATGAACGTAAAAGTCAAAATAAAAATCAAGACCAACAAACATTGGATCCCCAGATAACAAAAGAAATTTTGATAGAAGAACTTTGTAAGTTTTGAACCAGCATTCTAAATTTTCCATGTAATTTAAATGAATCCTCATAACCATTTGCATTTTTGTCTTCATCATGCTTATCGGTAAAACCTTTAGAAACAATGGATACTTTTAAAAATATTTTAAAATCTATATAATATGGGTAACAATTTTCCATGATTTTCTATTGTTTGTCTTATTTAAAATTTCATTAGGATGTAATGTCGTCAACATTATGTTAAAGGATTGGTTTATTTAATAGAAAGCTTCAGACGCAGACAATACATTTGCTATTCAGATTTGCATTCTCCGTTGAAAATAAAACCGAATTTACATAATCTGCATGGAGATATTGACAGATATCTTTGAAGTGCAAACACAGTCGTCCGCCGACTTTCGCAATACATAAAACGAAAGACACAAAACGAACAGCTTTATGTCCCTTTTGCTTTGCTTTATGTCTTTGCATTATCCTTTTATGCTGCGCTACATTTTGTACGAACATTTAATCGAGGGTGCTTTTCGGATTATTTAACCTAAAGTACATGAAACTTCATTTCATAATCATTTGATTCACTTAAAAATGCTTTTTAAACCCTTTAATGGCCACTTGCGCCGTTTTCTCCAACTGATCAGTTTAATAAACTGACAAGTTAAAAGGTAACAGGAGATTAGTGTCCAAAATCTTGCACCGTGATTTTTCTACTATGGTTTAAAATTTAACTATTGATCTAGGGAATTTGACTAAAAAATGGAAAAGATTGGTGCTAATAACTAACTTCACACTTATTTGTGACGCAAATATATTTTGACGATAAGAGTTCGATTCTTTATAATCTGTGGTTCGATTCTTTATCATCTGTGGTTCGATTCTATTTCATTTACGACCGATTCAGTTGATGGTAAGAGAGAATAATATGGATACAGAACCTGAAAAAAAGGGGGCGCTCCTCAAATTTTTCAGAAAATGAAAAAAATCATTTAATTAATCTTGTGGATACAAGGGTATCATTGAAAACAAAGAGACAGATAGGGCTGAAACAATTAGAGCAGGAAATTAACAATAAAAAGGATGTAAAAGAAATGACTCTTTCGGATTTTAAAATTTTATAAGAAAAAGAAAAACTTAATAGATGTATTATAATAATAAACAAGAAGTGACTATTTATTTTATTTTAATTTTAAATAAGTATAAATTAAATAAAACATCAAAAATATTATTCACATTAAATTTTATAAATTCGCAAAAAAATATTGTATTAATTGAATTTGAAACATATTGGATCTTGTGGATGAGTAACAAAAGGGTACACCAGTTCATGGCATTTATATCATCAAGCAATGGCGGCTTTGGTTTATTCATGTCTCTAGCAATATTATGTAGTACAGCTGCAGCTGGAATAATGGACAAAACTGTATATAGTTTTAATCTTAAGCAATATGCCAACACTGGAAACCTTCTTTTCCAAATTCCAAATACTCTTTCTATTATATTTCTGGTTCTTAGTAGTGACTCATTATAGAGTTGCTGACCTCTATACTATAACTATAGACAATAAATAATATCTTTGAAAAAAAAAGATCTTGAATACCGATGACAAGTACTTTTGAGGTTATAAATCGTGAATGGTGGATTAAAGTAATTTAAACCCCCGAAATTGAGGGTTTATTTTAACAGTGGTTTAGAGGTAATTTACGGTGCAAGCCAGTTATGAAAAATAGACCTGTGTTAGCCAATTATTGCCATATAATTTTTTCTTTCATGTGGTATTTTTTGTATAGTTGTGCTAATTTTAAATATAACTTTTAAATTTCTTACCGCATTAATTATAATTACTATTAATATTATAAGATGGAAATACAAAAATGGAGCAAAACAATTTATTTATTACATATCATTTACGAAATACCTTTTTATTTTTGTTCTTTATAAAATGTGGCTTGGATAAAAAGATAGATTATTAAGAAAAACTAAATTGTTCACTAAATATTATTGTTGTCCTTAAAAAAAGAGCTAAAACATAAAAATAAGCAAAACATGCAAAATCGTTTTAAAATCAAAGTTATCTATTCTGTCAAACAAGACAAACAAACAAAAATGTCACATCACAATTAGTCAAAATTTTCAGTAAAAGACACACACAAAATTCATCGTAAATTTAATCATTAAAAAATCCACCATACACAGCCAAAATGGCGGCCATAGTTTGTCCGGAAAAAGATGAAGCGGAGAGGAGAACCAAAGTTCTTTGCAAGCTTCGGGACCTGATCGAAAAAGCCGAACAAGATATTGCGGTGGGCGTTAGACAAATTCAAGTGCCCGGTTCTGAAAGTCCACCTCCCATGGAACCCACGAAATTCGATAAGAAGTCCAATGGTCCCCCAGATGTTATGGTAAATTTTAAAAAATCTTGTTTTACTTTTTTTTTTAATACATTGTTTAAGGAAATTTCGTAGAAATAAAAAATGTATATATACATTCTTTATCAGATTTAATCAATCAGTATATTAATTTTTTGACGATTTTCTTTTAAATTTAGTAACGCTTATTTCTTTTAAGGTTTGTTATAAGCTGCCATCAAAAAATGCTTCGTGGGACGATGACGGCATACCTTTAAGTAACTCGAAATCGAGAGAACTGAGAGGTGGACAACTGTTCCTTGGGTGTTATTGCTGCAAGAAAAACGGTCTACAGGACGATTGTCCTCGAGCAGAGTGCCAAGGATCGCCTCCCTGTCTTACCAAACCCCCCACGTGTGGTAAGTATATAATAATAATAATAATAATAATAATAATAATAATAATAATAATAATAATAATAATGTTTATTTAAATAAAATGACAATAGTATTACAAGAGCCTTAATAAAAATACAATTCCACAAAAGCATGTATATGCTTGTCTGTTGTTAAAATAGAAAAATGCAAATAATTATAAAAAACATTATAATAATTAAAATAATCAAAACAAGTAAATATTACGAAACAATTAAATATACACACAAGTAATAAATAAATTAATCCTAACTATAAAGTATAAGCAACATGGATGTAGATACAATAACAATACTGTATACAATATAATTAAAAGTACAAAACGCATGTAAAAAAATTTGTAAAAAATTTGTAAACTTGGAAATAAAAACGTAAACAATTTTAAAATATACTAGTACAAGTAATCTTAAAGGTTTTTCAAATCAATTTGCTTGGCGATATCTAAACGATTTTTTTCTATAATACAATTTTTACAAGACCTTTTAAATATGCTTATCTTTCTTTCTTTAATATCAGGAGGAAGACTATTGTATAGTTTGGGGCTAAGTCCAATTGAAGTTTTCATAGTTGGTACCTTAGGTATATGTATTTTTAGTATGTCTTGTATTGTAATCGTGACTTGTTATTTCATAATAATTTTTATTTTTAAAAACATTTACACAAATACTATAATAAAATAATTGTCTTATTTTAAAAACATTAGCTAAATCAAATAGATCACATGTGGGATAAGTCTTGGGTTTCGTATATATTATCTTTAAAAATGATTTTTGTATAACTTCCAAGTTGTGCAAATGGTTATTTAAGATCCCTCCCCATCCCAGAATTCCATATGATAAGTGATATTGTATTAAAGCATAATATATTACTTTTAAATGAGAAATGTACATAAAATTTGTTAGTTCTTTAAAAAGATACAGAAGGCTTCTTAATTTCTTTATCAAACTACAAATAGGACAAATATACAAATATGGACATCCCATCGGAGGTGACAATCTATATTTATTCCCAAGTATTTAATGTTTTTTTGTATTTTAATTTTAAATTCGGTGGTTCGAAGGTGGTCATAAAAAGGTAGACCATACATCCTTATAGAAAAAGGTACAAAGAATGTTTTTTCAAAGTTTATGGTTAAAATCTGGTTTTCAAACCATTTTTTTATGTTTAGATCTTTTTCAACTTTTACTCATACATATCGTGTCTTCCTTATGTAAGTTTTTACTAAGTAAACTATTATTGATAGAAACTTGACTAAATGGGCAGCAGTGAAAACTCTTTGAAATACATCCTAAAATTAAAATTTAGAAATCGAAAAAAGAACAAAAAAATGTTTAATTTGTATAGTTTGTAGTTTAAATTAATTTAATTTTAATTTTCTTTTATTCTTTCATAATTTTAATTTCAAATTCTTAATACTTTATCTATAATTATTTGTAATATACCGTTCATTTTGTTTTTATTTGTTAGGTTGGTGGCTTATGCCAGTTTGACTTAGTATTTTTAGTATTTAAAAATGGTACTTCTGCTAAGAAATTTAATTAAATACTTTGACACAGTCAAATTGACAATAATATTTATTATTGATAATTTACTTGTCAATTATAAATAAAAAGATAATTATGCCCAATTTTCTTTTATTCTTTCATAATTTTAATTTCAAATTCTTAATACTTTATCTATAATTATTTGTAATATACCGTTCATTTTGTTTTTATTTGTTAGGTTGGTGGCTTATGCCAGTTTGACTTAGTATTTTTAGTATTTAAAAATGGTACTTCTGCTAAGAAATTTAATTAAATACTTTGACACAGTCAAATTGACAATAATATTTATTATTGATAATTTACTTGTCAATTATAAATAAAAAGATAATTATGCCCAAAATAATAACAACGAATTCGAATGTAAAAGCCCTTTTGAGGGCAAAACTTCATTTTGATGAAATTATGCCAAATGCCACAATGGAAGAAAAAGTACATCGCCTTATGGACATTTTGGAGTAAAAAAGTAACGAATTTGCTTTTATAAATATTACATCACACATTATTTTCACATTATTCACCACTGGACAACATTTACGTTCACAAAACATTTTAATTTCTTTTATATAAATTCTTTTCAAAGCGAAGATTATTATCCGCTAGGAATACTTTCTTTTCTGGGCTGTAAAGCAACCTATATTTAACTACTTTTTTATATGATTTTACAGATCCAAGCACCACCAAAGCCAAATTAATTGCATTTTTAACTACGAATTTCGACAACTCAACTTGACAACTGCACAATGTAACCTACAATAATTTATACATAACCACAATTAGATTTATAACTAGCTTAGTTTGTTTTAATCAATGCGACCAACTTGACAACTGTATTTACCAACCAAAACCCTAAATTTGCAACGTTGCCGCAGTCCAGATAAAAAAATGAACTTTATTAAGTTAGGTTTAAAAAATAAAATATCCTGACAATTTTTAAATATTGTAAAAAAAATTTTGCAGTGCACCATCGTTAAAAAAATATTTTGTTTAGGTCCGTTCGTCTACTGCGATGCGAAGCACCTGCAAGCCAAGGCAGCGAAGTTCCTCGCTAGAGGAAAAGAAAACCCGCATGAACAGAAAATGAAGTACAAGTGTTTCCCGGCAACAGTTAAGCCGCCTGAGGTGCCCTGCTGCATAACTACGTGCATCTACGATTCATAAGCTTAACTAACTCAGCGTCATTAAGGAAAGCTTAATGGTAGTACTTTTTTCGGTTTTATTTTGTTAGTTTGTTATTATTTGCTTTGTTTTGCTGTACTGCTGTTATATACGATTCTTCGTTAAATAATGATGAAACTGTGGATTATAAAGAAATTTTCAAGAGTTTTTGTTCAAGTTACTGGATCGTTAATTAGTTTGTTCCTGTGCTGTTTTTTTAATATTTGGTACAGGAATGTTTGTTGTTTTTATGAAATTCTTTTTGATGTTATTGTAAAACCACATTTTTAATGTTGTTTAGCTTAAGTTTTTGTTTTTCCTTAATGATGTTTATTTAGTTAAGTTAACTTGTCTAGGAAATAGTGTGTGTCAAAAAATGTTAAATAAATTTTTTGAAATCATTGTTTGTTATTTCTAACAATATTTATAAAATATATATAAATTAAAGTTAAGAGGTCGTACCAAATAGCCCTAGGTATTCGTTGGTTATACAATAAAAAACCGTAAATTTTTTAGAATTTGAATGTCATGGTCAAATTTATAAAAGTTAAGCCAAAGATTATTTTTGAGTCGAGCTAGCAAAACCAATGCTTTTATTAAGAAAACTGGGCTTTAATAGCTATAGCTATAGCTATAGCAATATATTGGTAACGTTTGTTCATTTGAAAAATTCGTTAAAAAAACTTGATGGACATTTAAGAAGATATCAAAGAAAATATTTGTGTTGAAGCGGCATGATTAAGTTCAAATTTGGCTAAAAAAAGTGGAAACAATAACCGAAGATGTTTTACTCTGCTATGTGTTTGAGCCTTCTGATATTTCTAAGCAAGTATTACTTGTTGATAAACTTATTTTAAACGCTTTTACAGATAAGGAAATCTTTTCAGATTCTTGAAGAGAAAGTTAAAGCCCTACACACACAAAAAATATAATATTTTCAGCAGAGCAAATAACGCGTTTTCTTGTGAAATTTTCGGACAATACATAATTGTAAAACTACAAGATACAACAAATAAATTTTCCCAAAAGTTCATTATTACGGAGGACGATACTTCTTTTAAGATTTGTGCTCTGTATACATACATATATGACCCTTCAATTTTCAAAGTGGACACTTTTTATGGATTACTAAAACGTCAAATGCATGTAGGAATTGGAGAATAGGAGGAGTTCCACAAAAAATTGCAAAATTTTTAAACTTGGAGAATTCCAAATGTTTCACAGGGCATTGGGCATTCCTTCAGTGAAGATTGTAAGCCAGTATGTTAGCGGAAAACAGTGGCGATCTCCTTACCTTAAAACAATTTGAGGGCTGAACAATATGTTAAACAATCAATTACCAAAAAACTTAAAATTTCGAAGCACCTGTGTAAATCAACGGATAATGATTCTTTAACATCATCTTCAAGTGATAGCGTAGAAACAAAAATAGCAGAAACTGTCGATAAAAAACAAAACAACAAAGATATTGTCATTTCTAATATCAACTGCGTAATTACCTTCAATACTTAAATGAGAAAATTGCTGGTATTTTTAGTTCTGATTAAAATGGTGAAAACAGAAAAACAATTAAACGTCGTGTTTCCGAAATATTCACAAAAATAACATTTTTTTAAATGGTACACCCTGTATATTTTTACATATTTTAAAAGACAATTTAATTTAAAACAAATCATTATAATTGCAAATGCAAAACTACCTACACTAAACTTTAAAAAAAACAATCAAAAAACCAATCTTTATCTTAAAATTATAACTGAATATATTTGAGTAAATTTATGGCAACAAATGTATCTTCTTATATTTTCCAGGTCAATTATATTTTGTATGCAAATGCGACCTTCACCTTGTAACAACAATTATTTTTTACTTTTACAGTTATAAAAGAAAGTTATGCATCAATACCGACAAACATTCATATGCAGAGCATTTCTCTTTTTTGGGCCATCCACTCTGCACATTTATAAACATTAAGTTACCTTTGTTATATTTTGGTTCCGAGACAAAAACATTTTATTTAAGTAAAAAAAGTTGCAAAGTTGAGATTTAAAGACTTCTTATTAATATAATGATTTAACCCATTTTTAATGAAATTATTCTTTAAAGGGCTACATTTAGATAGTATTCTTGTTTGTATTGGCATTAAGAAAAGTATCAAATACAGTGATTTAAAAACTGCAGTTCACCATGGTGTTGAGAATCGTCTACGCCCTTATGGAACACAGCATTGACGACTTTTTTAAGCCTACCTATACGTAGGTATTATAATAACCCAAAAAGTACTCTTCTGATAAAAAATATTGATCAATTTTTCAAGGAATAAACTATAAATCTAAATTTTTCAAATGGTGTTTCATTTTCATTTTCGACAATTCGGTATTTATTTAAAAATAGACCTATTCAAAAAAAATGTTGTACAGTTGCCGACACGGAATTTTGAACGACATAACTTGGTTGTCAATGTATACATCTGTAAATAGCAAAGATACAATATTGAGCATTTTTGCTTTCGCTGTCAAAATTACAATAAAAGTGATAACCGAAAGTAAGGTTAGTTGTCCATAAAGAAAGTTTAGATTTTGATGTCAACGGGATGATAGTCGTTCAAAATTCCGTATCGGCCACGGTACTAGTCGAAAAGCTAGAGCTTTAAAGATTTAAAAAATGTGTAATACCTTTTGAGGTTTTTGAAGACTTTCTATTAATCATAGAGGGCCATGGAAATGACATATTATAATCATTTTTCTTTAATAGATAGCTCTAGCTATTGTAGCTTATACAGATTTTTTATAAATTAATTAAAAATAACAAAGTCTCGTTTTTTACGATATCTTGAAAACTAAAAATAATAAGTTAAATTTCATTAAGCTCAGCGAGATACCCATGCTAAGCCTAAAAAAAACGGACACCCTGCTCTCTAAAAATGAAATAGTGAAAATTCTACTATTTGAATTAGTACCAGCATTTTTTACTAATAAAATAGTCGTTTTCACTTTTAAATAGTTATTTTTTACTACGCAAATAGTTAAAGTTTGACAAATTTAAGATTAGTCACCATCTTTGACTATTTCTAAGAAAAGCAACTAATTTCTTTAATCGTTTGCGGCCAAAAACAAAGTAATATTTGAATTAAATGCATATACATACCTAGGCTCCATGGTTAAATTACCCATAAAAGCAAATAAATATGCAAAAAGTTTAGCTCAAAATAGCAACACAAATAATATATTCAACATTAAAATAATATGAACAATATTTATTAACAAATAAAATTGATTTTTATAAGAGCGGTGATAGCCGAAAGGGTTATGACAACAGCTTGACAAGTTACAGCACTGAGTTCAATCTCCGGTTGCTTCAATTTTTTTTTAAAATTTTCCGAATTTCATTTTTCTGACAAGCAGAATTTTTTAAGGTATGACTTTTTGTCGTAAAATTTTCTCCTTTTGTCAACTCCATCCGTGGAGTTATATATGTATATAATTTTTGGTATACCTATACCCGCCTATACCTATACCTATACATGGTACATACACACATATACCTATACATATATGTAATTATTAGAGATGGGATTTTAGGTTGCAAAATATATAAAAATAGGTCAAGTTTTTTCTTGTTTTAGGTGAAAAAATGCTTAAATTAGGTACGTAGGTACGTACAAAAATAAGTACAGGAAAGCAACTTTTAGGTGGTAAAATAATTAAATTTATTATTGTATAAAATAGTATTGAACAAGATTTTTTTGATTTGAAAAATTTAAAAATTACTGAAAAAAATATCTTGTAAAAATATTATAATATATATTATATTTAATTTTTGAATGAGGCGGCACACATTAAAATGTTTTTGTTAATAAGGATACAATTTCGGAAAATAACAAATTCACATTTTTAGTTGCAATTATGTCATCTGAATAGTATTCAGTGAATACATCCCCAATATTACAAAAAAGCATGTTTTTTGATGGTAAAATTTGAAAATTTTGTTAATTAACTAAATTTTCAAATTTAATTTCTGTTAAAAATAAGAATTTAGGTAATATATGTAAAATTACACTAGTTTAGGTAATAAAATTAGTTCCATTTCTCTTAAAAATAAAAATTTAGGTAAAATGGGTAAAATAAAATCAGGCTCAAATGAAATCATTTTCTTCAAAACGGATTTTATATATACCATTGCACCTAAAGTTATGATTAGCGTAGACAAATAGGTAATAACACTAAAATTCCATCTCTAGTAATTATTAACAACTTTTTGTAATACTTTTATCATAAATAAACCTTTGAATAAAATAAATCCTTACCGATAACAAATAAATAGAAAAGCTGGCCAAGGGACTTGAACATGGTTCTAGATAGGTGCAAGTATAGTAATATCCTTATACGAGGCTGGTACGGTTCAGCGGTTCACTTTTGATAGATTCCAAAAAGGAAAAACGAAAAACTACATTCACTCGGCTCGGGTTCACTAATAATGGAAACCAAAAACGAAACAATAAACAATTCGCACGCTAATACATTACATGACAATAACTATGAATAGACCTGGACGTCAGGCTACTCTGGGTGTCGCGGAAACTGCACTGGCTGCTGCTGCTGCTGCCCCACGCCGTCGGTTCGCCGCCGCCGCTCGGCCGTCCTTTCGCCTCAGCCTCGGAGGCGGGAAAATTTCGGGGCGGGGTCCGCCGAAAGCGCCGCCCCGGCTCTCCTGCTACATTTGCAGGAATTGTGCGTGCCGGGATGGGTCAGGGATTAACGTTGGACCTCTAAATGCGTTTGCTCAAAGTTTTTTCTGTTGTGTTTTACGAGACGTTTAGCTAAATCCGCGAGATTTTTGCTTGAAATACTTACTGATACTTTTTATCGATTTTATAAGATTTGACAACCTTGTTTCATTCTCTTTAAAATTGCCATTCCTTAATTATTTTGCATGGGTTTATTACAAAGCGGTTAGATAATTTAACACCGTAAAAAAATATTAGTTAAGTTTAACCAAATATTTACCAGATTTAATAATTTTCAAAAAAAACCTTATTTTTACAAACCCAGTAACTAAAGTATTTGTTAAAAACTTTTGATAGAAAATATTGCTTTATTAATCAAAGAAATTGGGTACAATATAATTATCGGTAGGTACTACTCCAACACTTACTATGTATTTCGTAACTTTAACCCACTTCACTGTATCCCCTAATTTCAGTTTGAAAACCAGTGATGGCATCTTTGTTCACATACTTCTGGTAAACACTATGGAGAGTTTTTACGAACACGTTACGAATTGGAATAAAGTAAGCAGAAACATAAGTTGCAGACGCTGAACTCAGTTGAACTTGTTGTTGCGTATTGTCAGTGGGAAATGTTTTGATTGACTGCCTGAAATCACGTATACTTTTTCAACGAAATAATTTGTTAAACATTACCAAAATATTTCTGTAACCTTTAAAATTAACAAAATGCTTACAAAATTGCATATAACCTTTACAAAACTTTCGCTAAGATATTTTCCTTTGTTAAAATAATTACAAACCCCATTTTCTCCAAAAAATTATGTTAAAATTATACAAAATAAAATAAACAAACTGATTTTTATAAAAAGGATAATTTTATATAGATTTTATACCTAGGTACTAGAAAACAAAATTTTAGACAATTCTCGAGAAATACAGGATGTCATCTAATAAGTTGTCATACCTTACGCCAAAGTAAGCAAGTTTTTCCTTTATCACTATTTTTGAATAAAAAAATCATGACAATAGCTGTCGACAGCGGTACCAATAAGAACCACATTTAAACGACTGGCCGACTCTACTAAGTCCGTCGACCCCAACCTCTTAAACTTTAAATTATATATATAATACATCGAGGTAAACCAAAAACAAAACTGTTAAGAATGTGACTTGATAAATAAAACTTAATTTAAAACAATATATAATATATATAATATGGCAAAACCGTATATAAATTAAGTTTTATTTATCAAGTCACATCTATTCTTAACAGTTTTGTTTTTGGTTCACCTCGATATATTTCTTTTTGTGAAAAATATGGATTTTTTTAAAAAACATTGCAATTTCCAATATTTTTCTGTATGAAGAACTAAGGTTGCTATGGTCCATTCATAGGCTATAGAGAATGACAGTGACAGTTTTGTTGAATCATCCCATACTTGGACATGTCATAAACGGCTTTCAAAAGCTATCAAATTTTTTTTTGCAAATTAATGTTTAAATTTTGAGGTGTCTTCTTACTTTAAAAAATGCATATGTCTCCGACTGATGTTGCCAGAGCCATTAATTTAATCCAGGATGGACGGTAACAGTATTACGTGGCAAGTGTTTTAAACGTCAGTCGGAGACATTTTTAAAGTAAGACACCTAAAAAGTAACACATTAATTTACAAAAAACAATTTGATAGCTTTTAAAAGCTGTATATGACATATGTCCAAGTATGGGATGATTCAACAAAACTGTCACTGTCATCCTCCATAGGCTATGGATGGACCATAGCAACCTTAGTTGAACTAAGTTAGTTCTTCATACAGGAAGAATATTGGAAATTGCAATGTTTTTTTTTTAAATCCATATTTTCCACAAAAATAAATATATCAAGGTGAACCAAAAACAAAACTGTTAAAAATATATTTTTAACAGTTTTGTTTTTGGTTCACCTTGATATATTTATTTTTGTGGAAAATATGGATCTATAGATGTCTTGATAATTAAAACTTAATTTAGAACAATAAACGGTTTTGCCACTACAGAGTCTTAAACTTATGGTAAAAAACATATTTTTGTTTAAACCTGCACATTATAACATTAATGTATCTACAATATTCTTTAATATTTGTTTAAATCTGAAATCAAATAAAAAAGTTATTTGCGATTGAAATTCATCGAAAATTTGTGTGGATCGATTATTTTGCCTGTGAGTGTAGTTATAGAAAATTAAAAAAATATTTCATATTTCCTTTTATTTTAATAAAAGGGCTTACTTTTTTATTTATTATTTTTATCTAAAAAAGAATGTGTAAATATTTATAACATCATTGCTTATGAGGGTTTTTTAAACCGACTATACTTTACTTCTTTTTGTGTGTCTGTCTAATCTAGTTTAGATCCATTTTAATTACCTTTCGCATTTGTAACAGTACCACGTAGAGAAAACTTTTGTTTTCAAGATTGAAGAACCGTGTCATGAGGTCATCCTACAAAGAGATTTAAGAGATTTTTTTTATGTAATATATTTTTTTACTCAAAAACATAAAAGTTCACATCTTAATTTTTAAGGGTGGCATAAAATTTCTATCAGAACTGTATACCTAATATTATTTAAAATTAAAAAGGCCTCTTGACGATGATGTTTGTCCCCTAAAATTCTTTAAAGCAAATTAAAGAACCCATTTCTATCTGTTCGTTAAAAAAACTTTTCAAGTGCATTCTTAATTATATTGCCTTGTAACCGGAGTTTTATTATTTTCCGAGAATAAAACGGAAATTGAGAATGACGTTTGTATAAAAGTTAAATAAATGAATATTCACGAATTAAATTGTTTTTTAAATGGATTTTTGTCCAGACGCAAATTAAGTTATGACTTTATTTTCGTATACCATTATATATGTCACTCTTTTTGTGACAATTATGAAATTTGCATATAAGACAAGCATGTTATCAAATGCTGTTTTAAAAGTGGCCAAGTTGTTTTTTATATCCTTGGTATCGTGATTGAGGAGCTTTATTTAGCCCAAGTAACACTTATGCTCTTATTGCAATCTTCAAGGTCGCTTTAAAACTACAATAAAACTTTGAATAAAACCAAATGATCTTCAAGACAGTCTTAGGACAATCATAAAGCAGCTTCTAGCCAAAAAGGGCCCATCCAAAAAGACTAATTTTTAAAACTATTAAAACCGTTTGGTTTTAATTTTATATTCTTAAAAACTTCTTCAAGGCAACTCTAAATTTATGTATTAAAACCTATTTGCATTTTAAATATACTTGCAGCAGACTAAATTATCTTAAAAATCAATATAATTAATCCTAAAAGGATTTTATTTTGTTTACTAAAGTGCAGGGCCGGATTAAGGGGGGCAAAGGGGGGTGCAGCCCCGGGCCTCCACCTCATAGGGGCCTCCAAAACTGGTTATACTAATCCTAAATACAATTTTGTCATTTTGTACTAATTCTGTATAGTTCTGCAAGTTACATAATGTAAAAAAATCCAAATTTTTTGTGTTTATACAATTTGTTACTGGTTATGATCAATTGGGTGTAACTGAAATCTGCGTGAATACCCAAGCAGCACATTTGGTTCCAAAAACCATTGCCAAAGTGGTTATAACTTTAAATTAGTAAAGTATACTAAACAGCTACTTTAATTTTTAATTAAAAGTAATTCTAACTTTTAAATAGCAATATTTTGTAACAGAAACTTCATTCTTTCCTTAAATGGTTACTATAAAGTAATAAACATTTAAGTAAAACTTTGTTGCCCCCAAGAAGACTATGCAACTTAAAAAAAAGTGTTATAAGTAAAAAAAACTTTCAAGTAAATTTAATTTGTAGCAGTTACTTTCGGTTGTTACCTAAAGATTACATTATAATTTTTTTGCTTTGTAGTCCCTTTGCAAGTTAAAATCTCGAAACTGGAACATGAGTTAAAAACTACAAAGTTAATAACTTAAAAGTTATTATTTTAGCATTTGGAACGTTTATGGTACTAACCAAAACTACCGTAAAGTAAATTAAGGTGGAAAAAAAGTAGCGAAAACTACTTCGAAGAAAAATGCTTCTTATCGGCCATTTTTTACTGTAATGTAAATAATAAATTATTTTAATTGTTTGTAAATGGTTGTTTACTTTTTAATAAATAGTAATTTTGTTGGTAATAGAAATAAATAAAAAATTAATAATAAAAACTAAGATTTTTTTATTTATAAACAATATTAAATAAATAATTTATTTATACTTAAATATTGTTGAAGCGCATTTATTTTACAAAAAGTAGATTCATAAGTTCAACAGTAAAATTTAAAGTGTTTATAAATTTACCTGCCTAATTAAACATTATATTGTTATTCTGGAAGATATAAACTACCAGTACATATTTAATAAACGACGACATTGAAAAGCCAAGTCCGTAGTGGTTTCATTTAAAAAAGGAGGGATAGTAAAATCTAATATAAGTTTGACAAAGACAGTTAATTTAAAAGTAAAAACAAATAAATAAAAGTAATTATAACGCTCTAGCAACGATATTGGAACGTTCTAGTAACGTAGCAGCTACATTCCAAATAGTAGCAGGGTTTATAGCTAGTGACATATTTGATACCTTTTTGGAACTCAAAAACAATTATTGTTCCCCACTTTAGTCGTAACTTAATAATGAAAGAGTAATATAAAGAGACCGGCGACGGTCGCAAAACACTTTTAAGTTTCTTCGATAATCCCATATACTACTTCATTATATTAAAATAAGCCTACCCTATGAAAAACAGTTATAATTATATTATTATATTATATTAAGTGTTGTACGTTTATTGTGTTTTGGTAAGTTTGGTAAGTAAGAAATTTTAAAGCACAATATTTTTGGTGTTGGGTTAATTTTAGTTTAAGGATTTTATTGTCAACAAAAATTCTTACTTTCAAG